GGAGGTGGATGATGAGGCTGAAACGGAGGAGCAGGAGGAGGAGGAGAAGGGGAGGAGCAAGATGAGGAGGAGCAGGGGGCGCAGGGACTGGCCTTCGCTGTGGCCTCAGCCCCCGAAAGGCTCGTCATCGGCTCCCTCCTCGAGGAGCTGCGGGATCTTGCGGGGCGCGCGCAGAGGGCGCAGGTGGCCAAGCTGCAGCACGAGGCCGAGGTTCAGCGTGCCAAGCAGATCGGAGAGTCTGCTTCCCTTTCAGAGAGATCATCGCCGTTCGCCGAGAAGGAGGAGGAGGAGAAGGGAGAAGGAGGAATGAGGAAGGAGGAGGAGGAGGCGGAGGAGGAGGAGGAGGAGGTGAGGAGGGAGGAGGAGGAGGAGGAAGCGCTAGAGGTAGCAGGAGATAAGGATGATGTGAGGCGGAGGAGGGGGCGAGAAGGAGGAAGGGGGCGCGGGAGGAGGAGGAGGAAGAGGAGGAGGAGGGTGGAGGAGGAGGAAGGAAGAGGAGGAGGAGGAGGGGAAGGAAGGAGGAGAGGAGGATGAGGAGGAGGAGGCGAAGGAGGAGGAGGGGAGAGAGAGGAGGAGGAGGAGGGAGGAGGCAAGGAGGAGGAGGAGGAGGAGGAGGAGGAGCGAGGAGCAGGAGGCAGCAGGAGGAGGAGGAGGAGGCGGGGGCTGGTCATCGTCGTGCCGTCGCCGTTTGCGCTCGCCGCCCAGGGGTCCGTTCGTTTGCCTGAGTTCCCACAAGCGGCTGTGGGGATTCTGGGGGCGACCCCAGCCTCGCCCCCCCCCCCCCGCCCCCGCCCAATGAGCCCTGCGAGCGGCTTTTCTGAAGTGGCCTGCGGCGCAATGCCCGCACGAGTGTCTGGCGGGGGACTTCCTGTCGTGCGTAATTCTGGCCTGGTGCGTCTCCGGGCTGCCCCGGCCGCGTCTTGGAGCCGAGGCGCCGCTGACCAGAAGCTTGGTCGGGAGTGCAGCGCTCTCGGGGGGCCCCGACGATCCACCCATGCCCGGTCCTGGCCATGTGTGGGCCAAGGATTGGCCGCCACGAAGTCAAGGCGGCTCTCAAGGAATCGGGGCTTGGATGATGAGCCTGTTTTCCACCACCACCACCACCAAAAGTTGGAGGGGGAAGGAGGTGGAGGGCGAGGAGGAGGAGGAGGACGAGAAGGAGGAGGAGGAGGACCCCACCCCCTCCAACTTATGGTGGTGGTGGTGGTGGTGGAAAGCGCGCCCATCACTGGAGGTTTGGTCGTAGGGGCCATGTGCTCAGGTTGAGATGCTGCACGGTCCTGGGGAGGGCCCTCTCAGGAGGGAAAGAAACACACAGACACAATTCATCGTCGACTCCCAGGAAAATTTAGGAAAATATGGGAAGTGGGCGGGAAGACAGAAGCCCAGGAAGATTGGGAAGATATGGGGAATCCTGTTATTTGTGCGTATCTATGTGTGTGTCCCAGGGCCCCGTCAATCATGACACTCGCTGCGCGCACACTCCTAGCTGGGGGCCCGGAGGGCGCATACACCGATCCTCCTACGGTCAGTAAGGTGTTCGATCACGTCCCCCTTGCTGCACACAACCATCCAGCTTTCGCGCAGAAGGCCGCCATGTACCCCCGAGCGCGCAAGCTCCTGCTCGCCATAGCCCCGACGATTTTCTGGTTGGAGTCTCCGGCCCCTGCAGTTCCCGTCCCAGTTTTTTTGACGGAGCTGGGAACCCGTGCGGCCCCCGGGCACCGAAACATGCGCAGAAATCCGTACGTAGCGACTTTCTCGAGCCGCCAGGCATCTGGCCCCCAGCATCGGCATGGCCAGGGTCGGTGCGGGTGGAAAGATGGCGTCCTTTCGGACGTCGCAGGGTGTCTTCGGCGGTCTGGATCGGCCTTCGGGGAGAGAACGTCTGACGGTTTTGGTTTTGCTGAAAGGAACTCCGAAAGGATCGGTCGTGGCCTGGCTCGGTGTTGTCGTCGTCCTGGTCGTTATCGTCGCGGTCGTCGTCGCCGCCCCCGTCGTCGCCGAGGTCTTCGTCGTCGTTGTGGCGATGGTGGTTGTCGTCTTGTCGTCGACCTGGAGGTCGCCTGGAGGTCGTGGTCGCTATGGTCGCGGTGATCGCGGTTGTGGCGGTCGTGGCTTGTCGTTGCTGTGGTGGTGGTCGTCGTCGTGGTCGTCGTCGTCGTGGTGGTGGCCGTCGTCGTCGCTGCCACCGCTGCTGCCGCCGTCGTCGTCGGCGGCCTGGAGGTCGCCGGCTTCTTCACCGTGGCGGCCCCGCGGGGCGCCGCCGTGCCGGCCCCGCCCCCGATGTCGGCGCTGTCTGCGGCCGGCGGCGGGGACCCCTGGGCCGGCGCCCGGGGGGGCGACTCATATAAGCCAGGCGGCAGGTTCGCCCCGGAGGCCCTCTGCGCCACGGACGGGCTCGCTCCTCGCCATGAGCTCGCTCCGGGAGAGGTCAGGGGTCGGGCGAAGAGAACTATGCACATGCACCGATCCTGGCGAGGCCCATCTTTGACCCAGGATCGGTGCATATGCCTTCCTGGCCAAGGCAGGAGGGCGTATGCACCGATCATGGGCTCAGGATGAGTCTGGCCAGAATCGGTGCATGTGCATAGTTCCCCCTCCTTCAAGGGGAGGGTGGTGTCGGCGTCACCCCGGCACACGTATACTGCCTATACGACCACCCCTCGGGTGATGAGGAGAGGTTCGGGGGGGGGAAGGGCCCCGCGTCCCACTCGATTGGTCTCACTGTCGACCTCACCATCGATCTCGCTATCGATCTCACTATCGATTTCACGGGACACCACGGGGCACCGCGGGACACTGCGGGACACCAGGGGCACCACTGGACACCGCGGGACACCATCGGGACACCATGGCGGGCAACCGCGGGACACCACGGGGCAGCATCACGGGACACCATCACGGGACACCATCACGGGACACCATCACGGGACACCACGGGACACCGCGGGGCACAGCCGGGACACCACAGTACATCACGGCACACCACGGGGCAACACGGGACACCACGCCGTGACACCGCGGGACGCCATCGACACACCACCAGGACACCATCGGGACTTCTATCGAGACACCACCAGGCACCGCGGGACACCACGGGACACCACGGGACACCGTCGGGACACCGTCGGGACACCACGGCGCGACATTCCTGGCACCCGCTCGCCAAGCGGCCGGGGGGGACGGGGCGGACTTCTGTCCTCGCCTCGTCCTGGCTTTGGCCAGAGGAGGGTTCGTTCGTTTCGCTCGCCCGCGCGGCTTCGCGCCGCCCGCACGCGCGACACGACCCCGAAACCGAAGCCGATTTCCCACTGGCTGTAAGTCGGGCCCGTCTCTCTACAGGGGGATCTTCCAAAATAGTAGAAAATAGTCTGGGCACGATTTTTTGCTTATTGTTTGACCACTTGGATGTATCTTTTGAGTATTTGTAAGTTTTCGACCAGAAGCCCCCTGTAAGGGGACGGGCCCGACCTAACGCCAGCTCCTCGCACCGCTCTCGATCTCGCCCCCGCACCTCCGCCGTGCGCATCGCCCCCGCACGGGGCGACGCGCGCGCTCCGCAGTCCTGTCGCACGTGCAGGGTGGCGGGCGTCTTCCGACCATAGCGTGAAGTCGGGCCTGTGCCTCTGCAAGATAGTAGAGAACATAATATGGGGACGAATGTTCGACTATCTTTGAGCATTTTGGGGGTATTGTTTGTTGTGAGCATTTTTAATTTTTCGCCCAAAAAGCCCCCTCTAGGGGGACAGTCCCGACCTAACCATAGCGCTTGGGTAAAGAGATCACAGAAATCCTCAACCAGTGTTTGTGCTCAGGGAGTCTTGCTTCTTTTCTACGGGACTGGCCCCAAAAGCGACCAAACGGGCCTCTCGCGCGCGCAAGTCGAGAAACCATCCGAACGCCATTGCGCGCGTGCCAGGAGGCGCACGGCCCTTGTCAAATAATACCATGCGGGCCAGTCGCGCGCGTCGGCCGCGCGCGCATGTCAAAATTCCATATCGCACCCTTCATCGCCGACGCGTGGACATCATCATCATTGGCGTGATCAGCATCGGTGCGTTAATTTGCCTTGCCGTCGTCATCGTCAGCATCTTCATCATCATCGTGTCTACCGTTGCCGAAGTTGCCATTATACTGCGCCCACTCGAGTCTCCGACTCGCACTGGGGTGCCCGCACGTCAGCGCGGCCTGCGAGTCAGCGCCACCGCGGTCGCGTTGGTCGCGCCAAGTTAGCCGCTGTGCGCATGAGCGTGCGCTGGCTAGCGCGGCCGCAGCGACGCACCAGCCAGCACCGATCACTCATCGCAATCTCCGCCGCATGGGCTTTGCAAGCCAAGTTGCGGGTGGGTGGGTGATATGAGTTGCGCGCTCAGTGGAGTTGACTATTCCAAGATAATCGTACTTACTTGCGCAACATGACCCCCCCCCCCGAAAAATATTATGACCTCCCCTCCATCCCCCGCGGACTTGGTGCACCACTTTTTGGTACCGTCTCCATGTCTGGTTCTGCACATTTGTCCATCGTAAATATGAAGGCTTACCCTCCCAGGCTATCGCTCATAGACCCCCCCCATCATCTTCTGCGAAGATACAGTGTGCGCAAACTCCTTTTATTCAGCGTCGTAGGAACCCAAGAGTTCTTTGCACAAAACAAGACGGCGTGCACGCGCGCGACGTCGCGCGCGCATGCTGGATTTGTTCAACAATTTAGGTTCCGTAAGGATTTCAAAGTCGATTGTCGCAAGGATAGAGATCAACAGCGGGTGTTGTGAGTTCTTGAGACAGCATTTTCAAACGACAGCAACAACAGGTTCATCAAATGCTGCCACATGTGCGCGCGCAAGTCGCAATCATTCGAACGCCCTGCGCGCGTGCTATCGCAAAAACTCCTTGCAACAAGAGGGACGAAATGCACCCGCGCACGTCGCCGCGCACGCATGTAAAATCTTCCAATCACTTGGGGTTTCGGAAAGAGTTCAACACCGAGTGTCTGGGATAACATTTACAACCACTTGTTTCGCAACCAACCTTTCCCTAAAAGACCGGCGCTGGCGGTCTCGCGAAATTGTGATAAGTAAACGATCTGCTTTCCAACAATTCCACCGTATGCGACCAAACGGGCCTTTCCGCGCGCACGTGCCGAAATCATTCGAACGCCTTTGCGCGCGTGCCATTGCTCTTGCCGTCGTCATTGTCATCGTTGTCACCAGCATCGCTAATATCGTCATCGTGTCTGCCACGAGGATTGTGCCTGCCCGAGTCACCGACTCGCGCAGAAGAGCTCGCGCGTCAGCGCGGAGCGCGAGATGTGTTGGGATGGCCCCACCAGTCAGAGCCACCGCGGCCGCGTCGGTCGCGGCAGACTGGCTGGCCGCTCTGCGCAAGCCTTCGCTCCAGCGCGGCCGCGGCGGTGCGCCAGCCAGCGCGGAGCAGTCATGTCAGTCCATGCTGCATGGCTCTTGCAAACCAAGTTTCGGGCGGGTGGGTGGGATGACTGCGCGAGCAGTGGCGTTGACAATTTCAACTTAGGCAGGGTGAATTGCACCACGTAGATTCCGCTTCCCAAAGAAGTATTCGGATCTACCCCCCCGAGGATGATCCGCCCCCTTTTGGATGTGCAATTCACGCATGCCTCTGCCCCATCGTTCATTCGAGGCTTCCACTTACGCCATCCCAGCCGGCCGCCCCCCGACACTTTGCAACAAATGCAATGCGCGCGCATTTTTCGTCTTTGAAGACTTTGCAAGAGTCCCTTGCCACAAATGGGACGAAGTGCGCGCGCGCGTCGTCGCGCGCGCATCCCGAAATCATTCAAAAACAGAGGGGTTTCGCAGTCATGTCGAAATCGAGTGTCCCGAGTACAAACATCAATGGTTTCGCAGCCAAACTGTTCCAAAACACATGCGTTCGCGCTGTTGTGAATCTCAAGAACTCATGCTCATCCAATGTGACCAAACGTGCCCCTCGCGCGCGCATGCCGAAATCATGGACTCTGCCAGGCGGTTTTCTTGTTTTGGTGGATAGATTCGTCTGCGTTCGGATAACATGGCGATGATGTCTCAGGCGAGGCTCTGGTTCCAGCACCCCAAGGGGGGTGGCGCCAGGGGGGTTTATATCACGGGCCCGTTCGCGCCCAGATTGTGAAGAGGTCTCAAGCGGGTCGCTGGCTCTAGTGCCCATGGGGTTCAGACTGTGGGGATGTGAGGCGGTTTGCCGGTTTCTGCCCCCAAGGCTTGTATTTGGATTTGTGTTGCTGCGACGCCTCTAGACTTCATTCACTACTCCTTCGCCTCTTTTGCTTTCAATTCAGGCGCACTCACCTTCAGATCTACTACTCACCACCACCACAGGCTCACTCACCACCCCCAGACTCATTCATAACCAGACGCACTCATACCCAGGCTCACTCATCCTTAGACTCACTCACATCCAGACTCGCTCACACTCAGGCTCACTCACATTAGGACTGATTGTTGACGCTTCGCGTACCCCCACCAGCCCATCCAGAAACGATGCCCAGGAGAGTTGTGGTGACGAGGGATTTGTAGGAGCAAGGTCGGGGACAGCCATCATCTGTCGAATGATGAGGAAGAAGAGGGGGAGGATGGAGGAGTACATGGAGGAAGAGGAGGAGATATGAGGAAAAGGAACAGGCATATGAGTAGCAGGAGGAGGACAAAGGCGAGCAGAAGGCCAGAGGCTTCTTGGATGCCCAGGGGCTTCGCTTCTTTGGAGACCTCTTAGGCCGTCTTGGATGCCTCTTGGCGGTCTCGGGGGTCCCTTGGCGTCTTGGGTACTTTTGAAGGATGCCTCTTGAGGCCTCTTTGGGCCGTTTAGGCACCTCTTGGAGGCCTCTTGGGGCTTTGTTGGGAGCCCTGAAGGCCCTGTAGGACATCGATCACAAGAGGGGATTCCTCAATTAGCGGCGCCCCTCTAGAGCCTCTACAATGGCCTCTTGTGGCCCTTTCGGAGCGCTCTTGAAACGCTCTTGGGCGCTCTTGGGGCCGTCTTGGGGGCCCTCCTGGGCCTCTCTTGGTGCCCTTTTGGGCCATCTTGGAGCCATCGGAAGCGACACGACGAGAAAGCAACACCCAAGGGGAGACTCAGTACTGGTGCGCGCGGGCATGCATTGGGCTGCCAAACGCGAACATGCTAGATTATCAGCCGGCCCCCCCCCGCTCCCCCCTCGGATGACCCGAGCTGTCGCCGAAATAACAAAACGATCTCCCAGAAATGACGACGGGGCCACTGCGACGTCGTAGCGGAACGGGCACAGTCAAGACGCTAAAACAAGGACTTCTGTGGATTCGGAAGGGGCTCGCAGCTCCTCAGGTCATCCCGTGGTTGTTCCTCTAGTTCTCCTCGCGCACCGGGGCTCGTTTGGGGCCAAACGGGTTCGATGTCTGTTCACGGGAGCCTTGGGCGGCGACGTTGAAATCAGCTTTTCCTGCATCTGGGCCGCATTGTGACCGCATTCGGTTCTTCCTCCTGCTGCTCCTCGTTCTTCCTGTTTCCCCTCCTCCTCCTCCTCCTCCTCCTCCTCCTCCTCCGCCTCGTTCTTGTCGTCTCCCTTGTTGTGAAGGGGCGCATCTCGTCCAATTCTGGTCCAAATATCTGGTCCGAATCAGGCCCAAATCGGACAGCGCCGGGGGCCTCGGCCTCGCGGGCCCCCCTGAAACGAGCACCAAAGGCAGGGGCTTCGTTCCCTCTCTACAGTCAGCCCGCATAGTAAGGATGGGCAACCTAAAAAGATGTATAAAAAATATATATATATATATAACAATGTAAAAAAATAGTAAGGATGGGCAACCTTCCCAAGGGTACCCCTGCATCCCTGCCTCCTCGGTCCATTCTCCGCCGCTTTCGCTGGCCGCGCCCCGCTGGAAGAGCTCCGAGATGGGCGTCCAAGGCCCTTGCATCCTTGTCCCGCAGCCCCGCTATGCTGGTCGCCTGTAACGTCACCTACACTTCCGCAGCCCGACGACCTCTCTGTCGCCCCAGGCGCCGCCCCCGACGCCTGGTCTGGCGACCGGCTCGCTGCGGAAGAGCAGGCGCCGCCGCGGGGCGGGCCAGAGCGGGGTTCGGAGGGGAGGGAGGGAGAGGAGAGGGGAGGAGGGGGGGGGTCGGGGGGGTCGAGGAGGAGGAGGAGGAGGGGGGAGGGAAGAGGGGGGAGGAGGAGGGAGGACGAGGAGGAGGGAGGACGAGGAGGAGGAGGGCGGGGGAGGAGTACGAGGGAGGAGGGAGGAGGGAGGAGGAGGGGGGGGGAGGAGGAGGAGGAGGAGGATTGAGGAAAGGATATGATGATGATGATGATGAGGAGGAGGAGGAGGATGAGGAGGAGGAGGAGGGAAGGAGGACAATTTCTATAACCCGCCATAGAGGGTCTCGAAGAGTGTAGAGGACGAGGGGGAGGAGGTGGACGGGGAGCAGGAAGGATCAGGATCGAGGCTTTTGGACGTTTTTGACCTTCTTGGGCTTTCGAGGCCTCCCTCCAGAGACCTCTAGAGATGTCTGCATGGCTTCTGGGGTCCCACGGGGACCTGCGCAGACTCCAGAGTTATAACGCCCCGGGCAGGCGTGCCGTTAACTGGGCGGGGGGAATTCGAAGCATGGCAAAAGTGTGATTTCAAGGAAAAACGGAAGTACGAATGTAAGTTGCGCAAAACATGGGAGTAGGAAGAAAAATGATAAACATAATACATATGTTCGAAACAATAGTTTGGGGAGAATGGGCGCATGGGAAAAGTTTGAAACACGTATGGGGGTGGGAGTGGAAATATTTGAAATTATGCAGGGGGGATTGAAGCATGCAGCAAAATATGAAACCAGTATAGGAACACGCATGCACGACGTAGGCAAACTATGGCAAGTACGAACATTACATGAACCATAGGGACCACGCCTGTAGATGTTTGAAAGAGCGCGTTCTGTGGTTGCTTGGAGGGGGGGGGGGGTTGGAACCGGACACCCCCCCCCTTCCCGTGATGGAGAAGGGGGGAGGTTCGAACCCCCCCTCCCTCTCGTGACGGAGGGGGGGGGTTCGAACACCCCCCTCCCCCGCTTCCCCACTCCTCGGGCCGGCGCTGCGCTTGGGTCGGCGGCGGCTGGCGACGGCGGCGGGGACGATGATTTCCATTTCTTGGCCGGCGCCGGCGCCTGTGGCGGCGGGCGGCGGTGGCGGGGAGCGTCGACGAGGACGACGGTGGTGGTGGTGGTGGTGGTCGTGATTGTGGTGGTGGTGGCGCGGTGGTTTGTTGTGGTGGTGGTGGTTGTGGCGGTGTGTGGAGGTGGTGGTGGTGGTGGTGGTGGTGGTGTTTTTTTGGTGGTGTGGTGTTGGTTTGTGGTGGTGGTGGTGGTGGTGGGTTGTGGTGGTGACGGTGGTGGTTTGGTGGTAGTGTGGTGGTGGTTTGTGGTGGCGGTGGTTGGTTGTGGTTGTGGCGGTGGTTTGTGGAGGTGGTGCTTGTGGTGGTGGTGGTGGCGGTGGTGGTGGTGGTGTGGTGGTTTGTGGTGGTTGGTGGTGGGTTGTGCTGCTGGTAGTGGTGGTGGTTGTGGCGGTGGTGGTGGTGTGGTAGATTGTGTTGGTGTTGGTAGTGGTGGTGGGTTTTTGTGGTGGCGGTGATGGTGAGTTGTGGTGGTGACGGTGGTTTTGGTGGTGTGGTGGTGGTTTGTGGTGGTGGTGGTGGGTTGTGGTGGTGACGGTGGTTTGTGGACGTTTGTTGTGGTGGTGGTGGTGGTGGCGGTGTTGATGGTGGTGGTGTTGTGGTGGTTTGTGGTGGTGGCGGTGGGTTGTGCTGCTGGTAGTTGTGGTGGTTGTGGCGGTGGTGGCGGTGTGGTATATTGTGTTGGTGGTGGTAGTGGTGGTGTTTTTTTTGTGGAGGTGGTGGTGGTGATGGTGAGTTGCGGTGGTGGTGGTGGTTGTGGTGTTGGTGGTGGCTGTGGTGGTGGTGGTGGTTGTGTGGTGTTGTTGGTGATGGTGGTGGTGGTGGGTGGAGGCGGTGGTGGTTCTTTTCCTTTTTTTTTTTTTTTTTTTTTTTCTGTTGTGTAGATTTTGTTTTTACTTTTTTTTAGTTTTTTTTTCTTATTTTTTTTCTTTTCTGTTTTTGTTTTTTTTTTTATCTTCTTCTTTTTGGTTTTACTGGTGAAGTGGTGGTGGTGGTGGTGGTATAATGGTGTGGGGTGGGCGCTGCGTCAGCGCCGTCGCCGGCTGCAGCGCCTGCGCTGCTGGCCGCCGCCAGCACGGCGCCGAGGGGTGGGGGCTTTAGAACCCTCCACCGCCCGCTTGGGTGGCGGGGGGGGCGGGTTGAACCCCCCCCCTCAGCGCCGGCGCCGGCGCCTAGGGGGGGGTTGGGGGGGGAGGGGGGCCCCACTGGTTTTGATTGACGGTGCCGAGTGTTGGGGAGGCCCCCCCCTTGTTTGAAACGCGCCGCCGAATGTTCCGAAGGCAAGCGCACATGAAACGCGTGCACTCAGATGTTCGATAATAGACGGATATAGTTAATGTCAAGTCTTCTTTTATAGCAACTTTACAGTTTTTGTTTCGCTTTCTGTTGCTTCGGTAATCCAATGTTCTCCGTGTTCCGTATCGCCAAACGTGTTCCACATTTGTTGTTGCAAGTTGCCGTGGCAGCTAACGCTTGTCTCGTTTGGGTTGTTCTCCAGCCTTCTGGCCGCGAGTTCTAGTGTGTGTGTGTGTGCAACAATCGCACGGGTGACGGGCGGCTGCTTTTTGAAAGCGAGTTTCTCGCCAGATGAATCTTCGCATGCGAGTTCGGAACAGCCGTCTGGATTGAAGACTGATCCTTTTCAAAACGGGAGTTCGCCTGAGACTTTTTCATCCGCGAATTCCAAATTTCGATTGCTCGTTCAGCGCGCGCGCGGATGGGGCATTTGCGTTTTCAACATGGGACTGTCGCTTCAATTTCGTTCCAATCTCATTCCAGGAAGCTAGCATTTATGTGGGGCTCACATTTATAAGGGGGGCTCCTCTGCAAAAACAGGCTTCTTCATGAAAGCCTGGCCCCCGGGGCGCCTGTCTTCCATGGGCTTTCGATTCAGGGGCGCGCGCCCAGTTCTGGAAAGGAATGCTTGCGTGGCTTATGGGGGAAGGGCGGCGAACCGGTCAGCGGGGCCGACCCCTCGAGAGGACCTCGAGAATCGGTGAGGCTGGGCGGGCTTCTAAGAAGCCCCTGCCTTCTTGGAGAGCCTGGCGCCTGCCTGCAAGCCAACCTCTCCTCGCGCCGCCCTCTTGCGGGCGCCGCCAGCGGTCCGTCTCCTCGCGCCGCCCCCCCCCCCCGCCCCGACGCCAATGTGGCCGCCGCCGCCGGCGCTCCTCTCGCGAGCGCGCCCGGCGGAGGCAGGCGAGCGACGCGGGGGGGGGTCGGTGGGCGCGGGGCGAGATCGCGCCGATCCCGCGGAATATCGCGGAACCCCTCGGCGCGGAACCCCATGGATCCGCGCCGGGCCCCCCCGCGGAGCCTGGGGGATTTCGCTTGGCCTTCCCGAGAGATCGATGCGCGGATGCCGCGGAATGCCGCGGAATGCCACTAACTTCAGCAGGAGAAACAACAAAATCCGCAGCGCCCCGCGGGCCCCCCCGGCGGATGCGCGGAGTCCACGGAATCTCTTTCTAGGGAACCAAGCAGAATCCACATGTTCTCGCGGAATCTGTCCGACGGACGCGCGGAGCCCGCGGGCCCCGCGAAATCTTTGCCGGGGGGCCGCGCGGAGTCCGCGGGGCCCCGCGGGGTCTCGTCGACGGCGGATGCGCGAAATCAGTGGAATCCCAAGGAATATGCGCCAGGGCTGCTAGGGCCCTAGCACCCGGGGGCGCGCGGAATCGACGGGCGTTCGCTGCGTCTTGGGCGCGCGGAGCGCGCGGGGCTCCGCGGAACTCGCGTTGACCCCCCCCGCGGAATCCGCGGAATCTCATGGATTCCGCCCGGCGGATGCGCTGATTCTGCGGAATTGAAAAGAGGTTGCGCCGCGGGGCCGCGCAGAGTTCCACTGCGCCCGCCCGGCGGATGCACGGGCCCAGAATCCTCGTTTAAGGACAGAAGCGCACGGAGCATCGATATTGATTGTTCCAAGGGTTCCACGCAGGTTCCCCCGTCCTTCCGCCGCGGCTCCAGGGGCGAATGGTCGAGCGCATTCCGTCGCGCGTGCTCCCCGCGCGACGTGCGCGGTGCATTTTTCGCGCGTCGGGGCGCCCTCGGAGATTCCATGCTGCATTCTGTCTTGCTCTTGGGGAGTCCGCGAGTCGCCGCTGCCGTGCCGCGATTTTCGAGGTGGCCCCTTCGAGTGCTGGTCGCGGGCGCAGGGCGCGGCGCGCGCCGCGCCCAATCGCGCGCGGCGCGGCGCGCGAATAATTTCCGGATTGCACAGCGTTTCAAGACAGCGCTGCCGTTTTCTGGGGGGGGGGCAGAAGCGGTTCCGGAATTTTTCAAGACGGGGTTCGGGCGTTATATATGTAGATACAAACAATAACAATAACAAGCTAGCAGTTTTGAGGGGTGGAATGCCCGCCGCGCAGGACATTTGAATACATTTCAAATCCATGAGTTTGCAACGTGGGTTCCAGAATTTTTCAAAATCGACGCCGGAATTTTGCGAAATCGTTTTGCCCCGCAAAAAATCCTGCGCGCGACAACTCGATCGCGAATTGGCGAGTGACCAGCGGCGCCAGGCCGAGTGGGCAATATTCGACGCAGGGTGTGCCCCGCGCAAAGGCCTGTAGACATCCGATTGAATCCCCGGAACACATCAATCGCACATTGCGTCCATAGTTTCGTCTCGTCCTATAAGGGGGCCCGCCTGATCCGCAGAGCCAGCCGGCCGCGCGGCCGTTTATTCCACGACGAGATATCGTCATCTTCGACGCGTGAGGAAAACGCCGGCGGATGCCAGCAGCGATTCTGAGTCAAGGGCAAATCCTCCGCGCTGCGTTCAAGTTAGAGATCACGCAGGGCGCCACCGCTGATAAACTCTGTCGTGCCGCCTCGCGGCTTGAGAGCGCGGGGCGCCGATGGCCCGGGAGAATTCGCCTGCGCGCCGCGCGAGGGGGGGCAGCGGGCCGTGAATTTCACGACGGAACATAGCCATCTTCGACGCGCGATGCTGACGCCAGCGGACGCCAGCAACTATTCTTAGTCGAGGACAGAACCCCTTGCGATCCAATCAGAGCGCGGGGCGCCGCTGCTGATGGATGACGCCTGTCGCGCCCCCCGTGGGGTTGGGGGCGCGTGGCCCTCTGGCTCGGGGAAAAATCGCTCGCGCGCCGCGCGACAGAGGAACGCCAGGTCGCGCGTTGCGCGACGAAGCGTCGCCCTCCTCGACGCGCGGGGCAAGCGCCGGCGGACGCCGGCAGTGACTCTATGTCAAGAGCAAAAATCCATCGCTGAGCGCAAGTTAAAGGACACAGGGCGCAATTGTTGATAAACTCTGTCGCGCGCCCCCGCGGGTCGCGAGCGCGGGGCGCCGTTGCTCGGGAAAGACCGCTCGCGCGCCGCGCGAGAGGGGCGCGGGGCAGCGCATGTCGCGGAGAACGTCGCCCCGTCGACGCGCGAGACATGCGCTGGCTGGCGCCCGCGGCGATTGGACATGGAGGGCGCGCAACTCGCGCTCGCTCCGCGCGAGTGAAGCAAAGACGCAGGCCCCCCATGGCACCTAGCGCGACGCCCCCGCCGTCTGCGAATAAATTATGCGACGACCCTGGGGCCGCCCCAGATCTTCGTTCCAGCGAAGCGCGCAGCGCTTGCCGTGGGTTTCCAATTGTTTGGTGGTGGGGGGGTTGCTCGAGAAACCCGATCGCTCGGCCCATCCCTGGGGCGCCCTGTTCTCTCCCAGAGGCGGCCCCGCGCGCTCGGGCGGCCCGGGCTGGCGCGCCCGCGCTGCAAAATAACTTGCAAACCCCTTGGGCGCCCCCCCCCGCCGCCCCCCCCTTCGCGCCCTTCTCCTTACTTTCTTTATTTCCCTTTCCCTCCGCTGCCCCTGTGCCGCCATTCTGTTCCCGCTGCCCCGCCCCCCCGGCGCCTCCCGCCCCGCCGCCCGCCGTCGCCATTTTGGCTCGCCGTCGCTATTTTCACTCGCGGCCCCCATCCTGGGCGCAGTTGCCCGCTGCTTGAAGCGCTCTCGCGTTCGTTGGGCGTCGGTCGGGCCTGCGCCGTCAATCCGGGCGCCGTTCAGGGGCGCCTCGCGGCGCGACCGCCGCGCTGTCCTTGCCCTGGCGCTCGCGCGCTACTTCGAGGGCGGCGTGACTGCGACGCGCGCGTCGACCCGAACGCGCCCGCGATTGCGCGGGGCGTCGCTCCGTCCTGGGCGCGAGGCAGCGGCGTCGGCGCCGTCGGCAGCGCGCTGCGGCCCCCGCGCGGCCGGCGCTCCGCCGCGCGTGGCAGCTCGGCGCGCCGCGCCACCGCCGTTGCATTTTTGTAGCGCCGCCGCGCGCGGGCGGCGCCCCTCCTGCGGCCGCCGCCTGCAATCGCCGCGGGGCGATGCGTCGAGCGGCACGCCGCGGCGCGCAACGTGCGGAGAGGTTGATATAAATGCGCGAGTGCGCAGAGGTCAGAGGTCCGCGCGAGCAGCGCCCGCGCCGGGCCCGGGTTCCTGCGCGAGACGCCGCCGTGCCAGAGTGCGCGCGTAGCTGCGGATGGGGTGCGTCGTTGAATCAGGTATTCGAGGATTGTCCTGCGGCGAGATTTGGTCCGCCGCGCCCCGAACGCGTTGCCCCGCGCTGCGGGTCTGCGGTTTTGTCGCAGCGGGTATCCTGCAGGTCGTTGCCTCCGGGCGTGGGCCGTTGAAACTCCCCCGTGGCGGCCGCGGCTCTGTCTGCTAGTCTGTCGTCTGGCATCGCTGGTGCATGGCGTTGTGCTGGCCTGGCTGCGGGTGGTTCCTTGACTGCCGATCGCATATTGCGCCAGTGCGTGGTCTGCGATGGTCTTGCGCGCGCCAGTTTTATTGCCGCTGGCGTTTCTGCGCCGGTGCCCGATGGCGGCGCTTGGGTCGCCGGGGCGGGCGGCGGGGGTCCTTGCGGCGGGGCTGGCGGGGCTGGCCTCTGGATGTCAAGTCTGGTCGGGTCGTGGGGTGGTTCGTGCTTCGGGGCGGCGGCGGTCGGCGCGCGTGGCGCGATTTGCTACGGGGCGGTCGCGGTCGGCTGCCTGCCGCGATGTTGTCCGCTGCTGCGCAGATCGCGGCGCTGAGGCCTGTCGGCCGCTGGGGTCGCCACCTCAGTCGATTCGGCTGCGGTCGCATGATCCCCCGAATCAACTGCTGGAGCCTGTCGATGCCGATGCCCCCCCCCTAGGAATGGGAAAGGAACGACGGGCGCCTCCCCCTGTCCATGGCCTCGTCCAGGCATGTTGGGTCTTGTTTTCGCCGACGCACGGTGGGTGAGCATGGTTGTCGGCCGTTGCCCAGCGAGCTGAACGCTGCCGCGGTCCGCGTGGTGCGTAGGCGTTGGCGCCGCGTGCCCTGGTGCGCAATCCAACGGATTGCGGCGCGGTCAGTTCAACTCAGCCTGGGGCGCGGCGCGCTCCAAGACGATATCAGCGCGCTGGAAGAGAATCGCGCGCGACGCCAGGGGATATGAGTAATTTGAGCGAGCGTTTTCCACGTTATGGTGGTTTCCCATGATTGTTCGAATTCGCATTCGGTCGACAATTACGTTTGTCGCCGAAGTCACATTTGTTTTTTTCGCCGAAGTCGCCGTTGCGCTTTGGCGTATCGTTGACTGCGCACTTCCGTTTATGGCCGCATCGGCTGTCATTGTTTCTCAAACGTTTTCACATGCGAGCTTCATTGGTTCGCTGAAGCCATATTTTTCCATATCCATTTCAAACTCAGAATACATCGTTTCTCAGCAGTTTGCCTGCTCCGTGGCCTGAGACCTCCAGTTCGAGGCTCGCCATGAGCCAAGGGGGCCTCGAGGCTCGAAGTGCAGTTGCGTGCCAGGCAACCCGCGTAGCTGTATTATGTACATTGGGTAGTGGGCCAGATTCTTCTTGGATGCATCCTGGGATCTTTGCGGATGCTTCTTGGGGCCTCATGTTTTTTTGGGGGGGCCTCTTGGGTTCGATGGGGACGTCTACAAACGATACCATATTATGTTCAAGGCATCCGTCGTCGCAACCGTATCTCGCATGGTGCTCTGCGCCCGTGTGCCCGGGCCAGGTCCTGTGCCGCAGGATGCGTTCTATGATAGCCGTTTAGTTCGGCAGCCCACGTCAGTTTTGGGCCCTGGAGGGCAGTAGAGATCCGAGGGGCCAATGGCGTCCAAAGATTTCGATCTTGCTGCGGCTTCTTCGTCCCGCGCTCGATGATGGACTGTTTTGTAACTCATCGTCCGGCTCTCGCGCAGAAGACCGCCGAGTATCAACGAACACCACCAAAAACCGCTGGCAGCCGGTGGGCGGACGCCGCCTACCGCCGAGAAGCCGCCGAAAGACCGCCGACGGCGGAGGGCAGCGACCTGTCCCGTGGTCGAGCGCGAGAAGCTTTCGGCCCTCGGCAGCAGGCGCTGCTCCAGATGTTCGACACACAGGCCGTTGTCGGGCCTGGCCGCCCCCGATGGCCCAGGGGAGGAGGAGGAGGCGGAGGAGGAGGAGGAGGAGGAGGAGGAGGAGGAGGAGGAGGAGGAGGAGGAGGAGGAGGAGAGGAGGAGGAGGAGGAGGAGGAGGGGAGGAGGGGAGGAGGAGGAGGAGCAGGAGGAGGAGCAGGAGGAGGAGACGAGGAGGAGGAGGAGGAGGAGAGGGAGGGAGGAGGAGGAGGAGGAGGAGGAGGAGGGGAGGAGGAGGAGGAGGAGGAGGAGGAGGAGGAGGAGGAGGAGGAGGAGGAGGAGGAGGAGGAGGAGGAGGAGGAGGAGGAGGAGGAGGAGGAGGAAGGAAGGAGGAGGAGGAGGAGGAGGAGGAGGAGGAGGAGGAGGAGGAGGAGGAGGGGAGGAGGGGAGGAGGAGGAGGAGGAGGAGGAGGAGGAGGAGGAGGAGGAGGGACGACGACGAGGAGGACGACGAGGAGGAGGAGGAGGAGGAGGGATGGGGAGGAGGAATAGGAGGAGGGAGGAAAAGGAGGAGGAGGAGGAGGTGGGTGGAGGAGAAGGAGGGAAGAGGAGGAGGAGGAGGAGGAGGAGGAGGAGGAGGAGGCGGAGGAGGAGGAGGGAAGGAGGAGGGGGAGGAGGAGGAGGAGGAGGAGCAAACATAATGACAATAATAATGGCATTAGTACTACGAATAGTACTAAGAATAATACTTATAATGTGAATGATACTAATAATAAGAATAATGTTAAGAATACGAATAATGATCATTATACTAAGAAGGCGAACAATAATAACACTAATACTAATACCAATAATAATACGGACAATCGTAAGAATACTGGTAATACTAGTGACAAGCATGCTCATCATACTCATAAGCAAAATCATCATCACAATACAATAATATTAAGACGAATAATAGTATTAATCGTAAGACGAACAGTAATAATGATGATGATATTACCACGGAGAATAAGCATACTGAAAAAGAGTGCGAATAGTAACAGTACGAAGCAGACTAATCAGACTCCGAAGAAAAAAGAAGAGGAACACAATTATTAAGAATACGACGACGCATACTACGATAATCATCGTACTATAAATAATAGTACTAATAATACTACGAATTCGAATAATAATAGTAAGAATGCTAAGACTACTAAGAATATTCATACGCATACTAAGAATACGAGTCATAACATTAATCATATCATTAGTATCAAGAGAAATACTAATAATAAAATTAATATTACTGTTAAGGCGAGCATTAATACCAATAGCCATATTTATACTCATACTAATCCTAGTAATATTACTACTACTTATAATACGACTGGTGCTACTTATACTAATAATACTGAGCATAATACCCAAACTATTATTAACACCAGTAATACTAATATTGTCGGTTCTGATGGCACGACTAATGCTACTAACATTTTTTGTATTCATAATAACAACACTACTACTAATAAGCATGCGACTACGAATTCTAAGACTACTAATAACACTAACCATGCTAAGGGTATTACTACGAATACTATTAATACTACTAGTGACAGTACTAAGACATGCATCGTAATACGGATTTTATTGCGAATATTATTAGTACTAATAATACTGTCAACACTAGTAGTAATACGACTACATGTTTTATACTAATAGTATTAATACTAAAAACAGTACTGGTACCAGAAGCAGTAGTAATCATACTCATAATAATACGAATACGACCGATACTACTACTACTACTACTACTCCTACTACTACTACTACTACTACTACTACTATTACTACTACTACTACTACTACTACTACAACTACTACTACTACTACTACTACTACGACTACAACTACAACTAATAATACTGATACTAATAATAATACTACTAATAAAACTGATACTAATCATATTAATAATCAGGGGGAGGAGGAGGAGGAGGAGGAGGAGGAGGACACGGATGATGATGAGGAGGAGGAGCAAGAGGAGGAGGAGGAGGAGGAGGAGGGGTGGGGAGGAGGAGGAGGAGGAGGAGGAGGAGCGTTTGTTTCATCTCCTGCTTTGGTCCTTATTTGCTAGAGAAGGGGTGTCGTGCGGGCCCTCAGGAAGTTGCATTGCCCCCAGGACATCAAACCACCCGTCCATGACACCAAGACCGATAGTTTGACTTCTTCCCCCCTCCATCTTGCCGCTCGCTCTCTCTTGCGCTTGGCCAAGAGACTGGTGGCGGGCGATCTTCGAAAGATTGCAGACGAGACCTTCGCTCGAGGAATGACGAAGGCCGCCAAACCGCTGCACCAGGCGGCGCACCGACTACGACGGAACAGCCTAGATGTATATACTTTTGCTGATGTGTGTGTGTGTGTGTGCAGTTCTTGATTTCCAGCAATAGTGAACTTGCACGTGTCCTCGAACAGGATCGAGTGTGGTATCTCGAGAAGTGTGCACAGGACATCCAGATATCCGCTGACGCACATACGCCACGACAGCAAGCGAGGCAGGTTAGAAAGCTGCTGGCCGCTGGCGGCCGCAAGGGGGGCAAGTTCCAGGTACCGGATGTTTTGCCCATGATGGTCGCCCTTCCCTCCCCTCTTGAAATCCAGGAAGCGCATGCAGCAGGGTTGGAGGCCCAGGATCGAATCCTCACATCTCAGGATGAAATAACCAGCCACATGCAGGCTCATTTCTGCACGGTGGAGTTTGGCCAGAGTGCCACACTGGATGATGTCGTCAGGGCCTTTAATCTAATGCCTGACCTGCTTCAGACCACAGTGTCACGTGACATTTCCGTCCTCCCCAGCGCGTTGGACATTGAGTGGCTCATGAGAGCCATCAAGGCGGGAAAGGCCCCAGGGCCCGATGGTTTCCCCGCCGATTTGTTTAAGGTCGCCCCCCGTGATATTGCCAAAGGTTTATGCCCACTCTTTGCCAAAATTGCAATCGCGGCCCGTGAACCGATTGTGTTCAAGCTTGGGGAGGTCACTTTCTTCTACAAGGGGTCAGGCCCCGCTCAGTTAGCCAAGGCCCAACGGAACATTAACATGGCTAGCACTGTATGCAAGCTGTACCACAGACACGCGCGCGCTTGCGCTACAATATATGGGCCAGTGCCTCTTGGCTGAGCAGTGTGGGGGGGGGGGGGGGGGGGGGGGTGCGCACAAGGGGCCCGACATGGCTCTCCACGGGGTTTTCCTAGCTTCCCAGGCGTCCATCCTGCACAAGAGGTCCTTGCTCGTGCTTTCCTTGGACTTAGTTGACGCTTTGTTACAGCGCTATTAAGCAATTCGCTATGGACCTGCCTGGTGAGGAGGAAAAGTTCAGGGATGCTTTGGAGCGCGTAGATATACCGCCGCTTCTGCTTGAAGGCGCGAAGGGCTTGCTGGCTGCGCCCAAGCTGCTCGAGTCCAAGGTATCTAGCAGACATCTCATGGCTCTGATCAGGGAGACCCAGAGAGGCACGTTCTGGAGGGTGAGAGGAGCTGGAAACTTTGTCACCCCAGGAGGCGGCACGAGGCCTGGCACGGTCCTGGCCACAGATGTGTTTAACTTGGTTTTCCGTAACTTTGTATTCAAGATCCGTGCCATAATCAAGCCACTGGCGTGCAGCGTCAGGGAAGCGCTACCGCAGCCCGAAGAGTTTGCGTGTGCCAACGAGCAGGATTGGCAAGATGTGCAACCTGACCTCTCATTTGTTGATGATCTCACCGTATCTCTCTTTGTGCGTGTTGCCCATGCCATACCTCATACAGCCCTTGCTTTGGCTGAATCAGTATACATTGCAGCACTGTCTGTCGGGCTCCGCCCCAATGCCGCCAAGACCAAGATATTGGTTGCCTTACGTGGGAAGGGGTCTAGGGGGGTGCCTGGTTTCTCGGACAGGTCCCTGGGGGCTGTGGTTTCCGCCAAGTGGGGGTTCTCGTTTCCGATTGCCCAGCAGCACAAGATCCCGGGTGCCTTGGTGACTTCTTCGGGCTCCATGGCGCCAGAGATCACCGCACGCGTTGCCAAGTGCTTGGGATCCCTGAGGCCCATTAAGGCCACGGTGGCACCTAGGGAGGCTCTTTCCCTCGGAGCCAAGACCCTATTTGCAGAAGCGATTGCTGCTTCCGTGCTGTTCTATGCGGCGGGAGTGTGGCCAAAGCTCACAAGTGCCCAAGCTCGAAAGATGTGCACAACGCACGTGGCTGTGTACAGGTGTGCTCTCAACCTTGCCGGCGCCAACAACGCATCCTCCCACGAGCGAAGTGCGTGCGTGCTATCGAGAGTTGATCGACTTCCTTCTGACGCTGCGATGACCGTTGCCAGGCTACGCTATCTCCGACGGCTCATGTTGTTCCCCCCCCCCCCCCCCCCCCCCATGGTTAGAGCATTGGTGGATGTCACTTGGAAGAGTGAGGGGGCTTGGGCGCAGCTTCTAGTGTCTGATTATGCGTGGCTGAGGTTTCACACGGAACCCCGCCGCCGCCCTGGAGATGATTCCCTCGAGGGCCTTTTTAGGTTTGTTCGCGATCACCCCAGGACCTACAAGTCCTTGGTTTCGGCTGCCGTCATCAAGGCTAAGAGGGCCTCTCGGGGTGCTCTTAGGTGCGCTGCTTGGGAAGCCAATTTGGACCAGACTGTGGTGGGTACCCCGTTGGAGGCCTCTAGTATCCCTGCTTTGATCTTTCAGTGCCCTGATTGCTCCTTTGTTGCCTCGAGCCTTCAGCAGTGGCGCTCCCATAGAGGTAAAGTCCACAAGGCCCTTGGGGCACCGACCAGGCTTGCTGTTGGGTCCCTCTGTCAGATATGCCTGCGTGAGTTTCACAACAACCCTCGGCTAGTGCAGCACTTGCGCAACTCCCCTACCTGTAGAGTGTCTTGGGTAAGGTCAGGTTTTCTGCCCAGCGAGGAGGAGCTAGGTCAGGCACGTGTCGAGTACAAGCAGGTCACGGCGCTCAAACGTGCCAAGGCTCGCCCCGACCACTGCGCGGAGCGGCCACCGCTACAGTGCTCAGGCCCACCCATAGGCCCCAGGGTGAGGTG